GAGGTGGAGGGAAAGAGCAAGTCTTTGGGAGTCTAGCAACCCTGAATTTTTTGACTTTCAGCAAGTTACTCTACCTCTCTGAGCCTCTACAAAGATTATAAGATAGATTTTGCAAGACTGCCATGAGGATTAACCTGTTTCATTCAACACATGTTTAATGAGTGTTCGCTGTGGGCCAGGGCCATCGTGCTGGGTGCTGGGGATATAGCCGTGACCAGGACGGTAGCTGTCCTCAGAGTTTCCGTCCTAACCAGGAAGATGGTAAACAAATAGAAACTTGACACTGGGGTGTCAAGATTAAAAGGTTTAAGTAATAGGTATTTCAATGTAAGGTACTAACAAAGAAGATGTTCAGCGAGTGCTGGTCACCTTTCCTTTTCAGGGAGAAGCAAATATGTCCTTTGAAATGGGCATCTACAGTTCCTCACAGTGGGGAAAATACCTTGACCCCCACGACAGGGGATTTGGGCCAGCTCCTGCCACCCCAGTTTTCCTTGGCTTCTACCCCATGGAGAGGGGGCTCTCTAGGTCCATTCCAGCTCTGCTCTGCGGTTCTGACTCCCCGAGGGACCAGCCCCACTGTGAGGGCATCCACATGAGCTGCAGGGGTTTTGTCCGACCCAGTACCTCAGGCTAGAACGGCCTCTCCTGCCTTTGCCCATCAAAGCCTACCCCAGCCTTCACGCACAAAGGGCCCTCAGAAAGTGGGGAGGGATGGGGGAAGGACCCGAGGAGCTGTTGCTGATGGGGATGCCATCCCCCTGCCTGACCAGCCCTCCACATTCCCTAGACCTTATCACCCATCAGGCTCCAGTCGGAGCTCACCTCCTCCCTAAAGCCTTCCACGATCCCCGAGCCAGTGGTGACCTCTCCCTCCCCAAACCTGTGCAGATCATCATGCTGCCCACTTCCTGGTCGGTCAGTGAGCCTCCATGTGCCGCTTGCCTTCACCATATGAAGATAGGTACCCTACCCCAGCCCTCCCAGCCTGTTCCAGGCCCCAGCACAGAAGCTGGTGACCGTGCTGCTGAAGGCTTCCTAGTCTCCTCCAGGTGTAGCACCCTGTCCTTTGCTTCTGTTCCCAAGTCTTTATCCTTACCCTTGTCAGGATGGTAATGATCTGTTGCCTGTCTCTTTCCACTACTGGACTGCACATCACTCAAAGCCACCTGACCCAGGGCTGGCACTTAGTAGGTGCCTAGTAGATTCTCACTGAAGGAATGAGACAACATTTGTCCCAGCCCTCACTGGAAGCACAACGGGGCTAAGAAACAGATGCGTAGCTATGGCTGCAGATGAGAGTGGCCGATGCCTTTTGAGAGGGGATGCTGGGGCCCACAGAGGGGGATCCACCTGCCACTGCCTCTTTCCAAGGCCTTTGTGTACTACCTCCTTCATTGCTACCAGCCGTTCCCATGCTCAGGTCCTTTTCACCAAGTGTAATCATCTTTTTTTGGCCGAACCCAGTGTGCCTCTGTGCCACGGTAGGGGTATGCTTTAAGTATTTTGACTTGATTCATTTTGCATTTAGGAAGAAACTGGAATTATACCTATAGCAAAGAAACTTCCTATTTACTTGCAGAAATGAAGGGAAGGCTTTAATACTTTTTCAGAAAAAATCTAATATTATTAGCCTTTTTTGTTTCAGCCAATATCAGAAATGGTATTTAGTGTCCAAACATATATTTTGAAGATATAGGTGATTTTTAAGCCTCCTGGAAGTAACATAAGCCTTAACTTTTTAGACAGGTTTTCAGGAAGAGTAGCGTTAGTCCAGTTGAAGGTAGACAAGAACAGAGAATGGTATAATTTTATTTATTTGTTGTGCCGGCAAACGTTTACCAAGCCCCTTACTGTGTGCCACGATTCCTATTTCATGGGAGAGGCCTCTGGGGCTTAAAAAAGTAAAGGAAATAAGAGAACCAGGATTTACACCAGGTTTTCTAGCACTAAACCCAGTATTTGTCCATCAGCTCACAGCTGTTTGTATGCTGTGTAATAAGAGTTTTACATTGTTACATTCTCAACTTGTCCAGAATTGGGATGTGCTGTATTTGTCTCTGGGTCCCCAGTGCCTCTTCCAGGGCTCCATCTTGGTCTGCAGTCAGGGATTGTGTGATGAATGGGCTCATGAATGACTGAATGAAAAGACAACTATCTTTTATACTCTTTCAAAAGCTTTCTTTACCCAGCTGAGAGGTTTCTCTCCATGGAAGGTATATTTTCTCCAAAATAAACCTGAGGTGGATCAAAAGGCTTTTTTTTTTTTTTTTGATTCCTACTCTTCCCACAAGTGAACAAAGTTCCTTTGTTACTTAAAATATCTGCACCAGATCGTGCAATGCCCCGTCTCTTAGCGCAAGTGCTTATTATTGTGGCTAATTTGGTCACGTATGTTTCAAGGAGAACAATGCCTCAGAAATTTTTAAAAGCAAAACAGCAATCCGAAGCGTCTGTTGTAATGAGATGTAAATTGCCAACATCATAGTGGAGCCTCTACTAAAATTTGCAGTGAAGTGTTTTTTCTCCTTTTTAAATTAAAAGCACTAGAGGCCCTCCCTCCTCTCCCCAAAGAAACCACATGCTTTTTGTTCCTTTTCCCTCTGATTCTGTAATACTGAACACCCTGCTTTACTGATTGATTCATTCCTTCATTCATCTGCCATTTTCTGAGCCTGTGTCAGAGCCTCTGTTCTATGCCTGCCTCAGTGCCAGTCTCTCCAGAGGCATTATCAGGTGGCTATTGGCAAGTCCCCATTTTGCAGGTAGGAAAGCTGAGGCTCAGAGAGGTGAGGTGGCGTGTCTCAGGTCACGCAACTTGGATCTACCCCCAGGTCTCCTGACACACCCCTTCCAAGATGAGCCTTTGGTTGGTCTCTCCTCCTTGCTGAGGCACCATCTGAGTCACCAGGTGCCTTCTGTATACAATGCCAGAGGAGGCAGTTGAGGAGAGCGGTGCAGAGGGGTGGGATAGGGAGGGGGGGAGGGAGACGCGAGAGGGAGGGGATATGGGGGTATATGTATACGTATAGCTGATGCACTTTGTTATACAGCAGAAACTAACACACCATTGTAAAGCACTTATACTCCAATAAAGTTGTTAAAAAAAAAAAAAAAAAATCCCTGGCAGCCACCAGGTATTTTAAACAGTGCTGATTGGGTACGTTAGAAAATAGTGTTCCTTGAGAGCCAGAAGATCCCAGTACGATAGCCTCAGTATTTGACAAAACTCCGTTGGTCCCTGAGGAGACCAGCACAGGGGAGCATAGCGTGGGTGTGCTGTGGAGCGCAGGCACCTGCTCTGGGCTGGGCCTGTGCTAGGCACCTGAGGCAAAAGAAGACCAGCAGTGCCCTGGCTCCCAGGGACTAGCAGTGACTAACTGAGCACCCAATATGACCCTCGTGTGGGGGAGGGGCAGTGGGGGAGAGCCACTGTTTACTGAGCACCTGCTTCGTGCCGGAGTCTGGATCAATCATTTCATATGTAACTCGTTTAATCTTCAGTCTGGCCAAGTCGCTGTTGTCATCCCTCCTTTCAGGTGAGGCAACAGAGTCAGAAGGGTTAAGTAACTACTGATGTGTAAAATTGCCTGTCGAGGATTGAATTGGAACCAGGCATTGTGTGGAGCCCTGTCTCTGACGTAAAAGGACGGCGCAGTCTCTGCCTGCCCTCAGGCCTCACGGTGGTCTAGTGAGGGGCAGGCATAGAAACAAATGAGTGCATCTGATTATCATCGGGGGAGGGGAGCGTCTGAAGGACCTGGTTAGGCCAGTTCGGAACGGAGTCTCGGAAGAGGGGACCGGCGGAGGGTGGAGCCAGAGAGGTGACCTTTTGCTCTCAGCCCTTGCTCTTTCTGATGTCCCTCACGTGTCCCCCTGTAGCCATCTGAACTGTCCGTTCCCTTGGCTAGATGTTTCCAATTTCTATTTCACAGCCCTAGCTTCTACTTTCACGGCTGAAACAGGTTTCAGATATTTGGCAACAGCTTCCCTCCCACCCACCCCGACCACCGCCCCCAAGCACCTCCACTCAGCAGCAGGGCTTTATTTCAGAATCTCTGCTCCAGCCCGCTGAAGTCTCTTTCTTGCCCACAACTTTCTCTCCCCTCTCATGTTATGAAGAATTTACTGAGAGCCTGCAACGTGCCAGGCCTAGCCCTAGGTGCCAGGATTGCAAAGAGAGTAAAACTTTGCCCTTGAAGAGCTTCACAGTTTGATGTGGACAACAGATTGGTCGATGATTGCAAGTACAACTTGCTGGAAGTATTTACAACTTAGAGACCCCCTACTTGGTAGTGATCAGAGCAAGGCCTCACGAAGGAGACATCTAAGCTCTGTTCTGCAGTCTGACCAGGGGCTTGGCAGGCAGATGAGGGGGCGTTCAAGGCCAAAACAATAGCACATCCAAAGGCTCAGAGGCTTGGGACAACAGCATCTGGGGGACGTGAGCAGTGTCAGGGGAGAGCAGGAATTGAGCGTCAGACGTAGAGAGGAGGCTGGTTATTCTGGGCCTTCAAGAGGCTATCTATGGTGTGCAACTTAATTTTGAGGGTAATGGGAGCCTAAGCCAGGAAGGATCTGGTCGTGAGTAGATCTCTTTAGCAGCCGTTGTGGAGATGGATGGGAGAGAACTAGACAGAGTCAGAGCTGAGATGGATTCGATCTCTTCTCCAACACCTTCCTCTCATAGAAGGAAAAGGAGGCTCCAGAGGAGGGAGGCTATCTTGCCAAAGATTACCTGTGCTCCAGTGACCGCATGGACCACCCCCTCTCAGCCCATTCCTTTTTCTGTGTTGCTGAATGTCAGAGCAGGAAGAGACCTCAGATGCCAACTTGGCCAGGCCCTTTTGGGGAAACTGAAGTAATTACTTCTTCCCTGATCTAAGAAAAGATCAAATGCTCCACCTGAGTTTGCTTATATCTCAGAAATGCAACCGAGATCTCACACAGAGAGAAGATAAAGTTTGGCATCTGCTTCTGAAACTTTAGAATTATTCATTCGTTCTTGTCATTCTTTTATTCATTTAACAAACATTCAGAGAACACCTCCTCATTCCAGGTGCTGGGGACGAAGAAGAATAAGCCTTAGGCCCAGCTCTTGAGTAGGTCACGCAGAATGGGGAGATGGTCTCCCAAGATGAGCCCTCCTTTTTTGTCAACGCTGTGCTACTCCCCAACCATGCTGCATTCAGCTTTGTGTGTTCAAACTTAAATATTGGAGACTGCAGAGATCTGTCTTGCAGATGGCAGCGGCCAGCAACTCAGGAATGATATTCTTGTTGTGGGAAGCCCTGTCATGAGGAATTTTTGTAACAAAATCACCAATACCTTCGCGACCACCAGCCAAAGCAAGGGCGTGGCAATTGAACATAGAATTGCAGCCAGATTGTTGGTGAGGGCTTTAGTACACAAAGAGCACTGTCCCAGGTGGCCCACATGGTAGGGATAAGGGGAGGTTGGACCCTGAAACCCGCTGGTTACTTAAGTTATATGCACAGCCCTGGGGACCGGCTTTGGCAGTAGCTGAACTTCTGCTCCCATTAAACCCTGAAGTATTTGCATAGGGAGAATTTCCAGGATGCTAAACTCTCCGTTGGCCTTTGGAGTTGCTCTCCTGCAAAAGTTAATCTAGTCATTTGGCCTTATTTACTCATTTTCATCCTGTTTCTCTGCCCTTTGGTAATCAAGACACAATAGGCGATTTGAAAAATAGTTCATGATTTTTAAAAGCTAATGGAGAAGAAAATATCCCCCTTTGAAACCACCGCCATTTATCTAGCTGCCTTTCACAGTTTAAACCGTGCATAATTTGCGTTCATTGCATTAAAATAAAAATCAGGGTAGCTGCTGGTTCAGGCAATCAGAGGCTTAATCTGTATTGTATTTTAATTTCTTGGTTGAAATGCTCCTGCCTAGATACTAGGTCTTGGTGGGAGGGGGGAGGCCTTTGCATTTCTCCCCGCCCCCCACCGCTTTCCTGTCTTCTGCTGTGGCCTACTTCGCATAGGCTGCAGAGGTGGGGTTTTGGCAAATACACAATTTGCATACTGGAGTCATTGCCACCCGGTCTCCACCCCAGTCTTAACAGGACCTCTTTCCTCTGCAGGAAGTCGAGTCCCCTGTGTTTTCATTCAGACAGTGGCACCCTAGAAGACTGCTTCTCATTCATGCTTAATTAGCTTCTCGTCCATTCTTGTCTTCCAGTTTTCCACCTTTTCCCGTGACATTCATACCTCATATTATTTTCAAGCTTGGGTTTAAGTGTAGTCCAATGGACAAAAATAAGCCAACATATTTTTTGTGTGCCGCTATGTGCTGATAGATGCCTAGTTAAAATATTTGCCTTTTCTTTTCCTTGGAGTTCTAGACAGATCTCTTTTCTTAACTGCCTAGGTCCCGCCATTGACTTGGAAAAAGTAAAGTCAGAATGTCTCGAGCCCGAGCCGGAGTTACGGAGCACTTTCAGTGAGGAAGCAAATACGTCGTCCTATTACCCCGCTCCTGCACCTGTCATGGACAAGTATATCCTAGACAATGGCAAGGTAGTGTTTCAAGCTCACTATCCATTCCCTGCAAGTGTTGGTTAGTCAGTGTGAAGATGGAGAGTATGTTGGGAGCTTCCCGAGCCACAGCCTGACCAGTTGGCCTCCTGGCCTAGCCCTGAGTGACTGCTTCCAGAATCCATGTGTTATAACTAGTGGAGCTTTACTAGGACTTTTTCTTTTTCTCTTCCTTTTCCTTTTTATCTTTTTTTTTTTTTTTTTTTTTTTTTTTTGGTAAATATTGGGCCAAAGCAACTGTAAAACGAAACTGACATTTAAAAATAGCTCATTAGTGAGAATGTATTTTAAAATGATAATTCAATGAAACCAGATGCATAAAATTTATAAGGTGATCTAGAAATATCTGATTTACAGATATGGATATGACTCAATATTTATCCATTCACCATTTACCAAGTACCCATGTGTTCTAAGCCCTGCCCTAAATGACAGGGATACATGGGACTTCCCTGGAGGTTGAGTGGTTAAGAATTCACCTTCCAGTGGGTGCGGGTTCAATCCCTGGTTGGGGAGCTAAGATCCCACATGCCCGTGGCCAAAGAACCAAAACATAAAACAGAAGCAGTATTGTAACAAATTCGGTAAAGACTTTGAAAATTGTCCACATCAAAAAAAAAAAAAAAAAAAAAAAATTTTTTTTTAAATAAATAAATAAAATGCCAGGGATACAGAGGTGAATGGGACATGCTCCTTACCCCTAAGCTGCTTTCAAGTTGTACATTCAGCGTGGTTAGCCCACAGTCCTAGGACCACATATAACTCCTCAGATTTTTTTGTAAGACTCTTGAAAAAATGTTATGAAAGAAAACTTAAGCAATATTAGTAGTTATATTAGTACAGGGGTGAAAAGTAATGGAATAGCCTTTGGAAGTCTTAAAGTCACATGATGATATAGTAGCAGGGCAGGGAGAAGACTTCTGATATTCTTCCAACATCCAAATGAATTCGTCTTGGAGGAAGTATATTGGATCCCTTTGTCTAGGCGCTGGTCAGATGCAGCTGTACTGTAATATTCTCTGCTACCATGGCATACATTACAGACATCACCTCTCCTCCCCAGAGACTCGTCTGTGTCAGTCTGTTTTTCTTGCCTTATGCTTCAGAAGGTCTCTGTTTACCCAGTATTGTTCCCCAGTGGGTTGATGAGAAAGAAAAGGTTGTTTTATTTGGGTTTGTCCAGATATATCCCTGCAGCTGGCCAGACTGAGCCAAAGCAAATAGCCAAAGCTGAGGAAATGAAACTTGTTAGTCTTTCAGGCTCTCTTGGATATGCTGCCCTCATCTCCATGGAGCACTTCCTCCCCTCCAGAGGGCCAAACCATAGGCCCATTCTGCCTTGCCTTGCTGCAGCCAGCAAGCTTTAAGAGTCTGCCTTGTAGGGCTTCCCTGGTGGCGCAGTGGTTGAGAGTCTGCCTGCCGATGCAGGGGAGTTGGGTTCGTGCCCCGGTCCGGGAAGATCCCACATGCCGCGGAGCGGCTGGGCCCGTGAGCCATGGCCGCGGAGCCTGAGCATCCGGAGCCTGTGCTCCGCAACGGGAGAGGCCACAGCAGGGAGAGGCCACAGCAGTGAGAGGCCCACATACAGCATAGAAAAAAAAAAAAAGAGTCTGCTTTGCAGGTTAGAGGTGGCATGACAGAGTGGAAGTAGGCAGCCTGGAGCCTGCTTAGCTCTATCTTTGTCCTACCTGTGTGACTCTGAGTGGGGTTTCCCTTCTCTGGGCCTCAGCGTCTCTGTCTGTGCCAGGTGGGATCAGATGGATGCTCTCCATAGTCATTAACAGTGACTCAAACTGTGTGTCTAAGTTTGGTGAACCTTTCCCAACTGAAGATAAAGAAAAGACTATTCTGTCTTTGTTGACTTTTTAGTCATGATCACGTTGTGGAATGACTATAGACTTTTTCTTAAAGTAGCTTCTAAGAGAAATCTGTTTCTCTCGTGTTTTGAAGACCGACGGACAGTTTCTGAGCATTATGAGGGTCTCTTTTGCAAAGGATCATTTTTCCTCCAGGAAAATGGGTCTCTGAAAGGTCATTTAATTTTTTCACTCTCGAGTTGCACAACAAATCTTTAAAGTGCCAAATTTCCTTTTTCATCGATTATTGCCAGCACGTTGCTATAAAACTAACCTGGCTTCTGTTTGCAGCTGATTTGCAATCAGAGAAATTTATTAAGGGAGAGGAAGGAAGCAGACTTACTGGAAATGGATGGCAGCTTCCTAGAACAGCAGTCCCCACATCCCAGAAGCAGCCATCATTGTTCTTGGCTCTGCAGCCATTTCTGACCCTTCCTTCTTTCTGCCTTAATCTCTGTGCTGCCTAGAGCATGGGGATGGGATCCATTTCCTAGCAGGAAACTGGTTTTGTCCTAAATAACATTTCGCAAAGACATTTTCTTGATCAAGTCCCATCCCACCAGTTGCCATACTTTTAATAACCTCCCTTGAAAGCATAAGGCTAACATTTTGGTCAAATGGGGCTTTATGTGAATAGGGCTTGCCATGAAAGCTACTTTCTGATTTTGCTAAAGTGCATTGCTTTTCTTTGTCTTAAGATATTTTATTTCAAAAACTCGTTGAATCATAAAGCTGCAAAGACCATTGAAGTTTAAACAGTCTAATTTATACATGGGATAGATGGGGAAATACATCCAGAGAAGGGGCTCGTCTATAGTTATACAACAGATCAGAGGCAGGCAGGCAGGAACTAGAAGCCGGATCACCTGGCTTCCAGGTCAGTGCTCTTTCCAGTCTGTTCTGCACCCCTGAAAATGGGGCATGACCCAGAGCTTTGTTGACCTCAGGAGCCCTTGTCCCAAATGCCCCAACATATACCTGTGATTGGTCTTACCCAGGGCCACTTCTTTCTGTGCTGTAAAATTGGCCTTGTATTCGAATGCATGGCAGAAAATATTTTCTTCTCCGAGGAACAGCAGCTCATCAGAACTGAAAGCCAGTGACACTAAGACATATTAAATATGCGCTTCAGTTTCTTACTGCCTTGTGTTCAGACTAGCCCTGATCACTTTGTAGGAGGCAAAGGAGGCAAAGCCTCGACCTCTCCCCACAGAGACGCGGGGCTGAATCAGGTAGTGAAACCTCTCAGTAGGCTAGAAATTCAGAAGGGATAGAGCTTAGCCCTGGAGTAGTGAAGGAGGTTTTCCTGCGTTGGGGAGCGGGGCTTGAAAGCTTAGCAGGCTCAAGAAGGCATAAGGGAAGGCACTCATCCCTGGGTGGGGGAGAGGCATGAGCAGAGACGTGGATGGGGGAAAGAAGGCAAAGGAAGTACCCGTTTCTGGTTGTGTGCTGTCCTCCTGACGTTGGACTCATGTTATCTCACTGAATCCTCAAAACAGCTCTGTGAATTAGGTGGTGATCTGCCTCTGGTACAGCTGAGAAAAGTAAGGTTCAGAGAGGTAAAGTGACTAGCCCAAGACACCCAGCTAGTAGGTGGAAGGGCCAGGATTCACACAGGGCTGGAGACTCCAGAGCCCATCCTCTTTCTGTTACCTACCAGACACTGGAAGTAGGAGGTAATGAGTGAGTTTGGGGGGGATCATTGAGTGATGGACATAGTACGATTAGCAGGTTGAATGGAAACAGGATTCTAGAGGACCTTTAACGCCGCCTGAGGAGGTTGGATTTGAGGTGACAGGAAACAGGGAGCCATTCAAGATTCCAGAGGGTTAACATAAAAACACAGAGTTGAAAGACTGCGGAAGTCATCTAGTCAAAGAAGGAAAGCTATGTTTTAGGGAATTAATCTGGCAGTGTTTACAGCGTGGGTTGGAGCGGGCAGGGACTGGAGGCAGGAAGGCCAGCCCGTGGCTTTTCTCCAGGTTTCCCTGACTGCAATGTGAACTGCAGTGGGCGCTGGCCAGGGCAGTGGCCGGGCAGGTACAGAGGAAGGCTCAAGAGGAGAGCCATCTGAATACTGATCTGCTTTGCTTCCACCCCCGTTAGCACCACCGTGACACTGGTGGCAGCAGGTAGGCCGGGAGAGCATGGGCTGCAGGGTCATAGGATTTGATTCCAGAATGTACTGATAGTATGTCTTAGGAAAACTAATGAGTCCTTCTGAATCTCTGTTCCTGTCTGTAAAGTAGGAATAATTATTTCTACGTATTTCCATCTCTTAAGGTCATTATGAGGATTAACTAAACTGAGAGTACAATACCTAGTTCACTGTAGGTGCGCAAAAAATATTAGTGTCCCCTGTCTCTTGTAGAACATTGGCTAAGATAACTGCCATCTCTCTTTTAAGAACAGTAAATTAAAAGGTTGTAGGAAAGCTAGGCTCAGGTTAGAAAAGAGCAGAGATCTTTGGAAAACTGAAGTTGTCCTCCATCTCCAAGGCTTTCTGATTCTGCATTTAACGTAACTCACACCCCTTGTTTTCCCCTATCTCAGGAAGCTTGCGTGGGTAGCCCCAGAGAGCCACCCAGGGAGGTGACTTGGGGTCCAGCAGGGAGCAGCAGGGAACTTGTCCCCAGTATGCCTGATCTGGCACACAGACTGCCCACCTGCAGTTCAGACTGTAGAGAGAAGGCCAGACTTGACCTTGGGTCTATGTTGCCCAGCCAGCCCCAGGCAGCACATCTCACTCCAGGGTTACTTATCTTCCTGAGTCGTATGAACAGATTTATAGCACCAAAGTTTGCAGCACAGGAAGGCCAGGTGGATCTGGTTATCTGATATGGTGCCTGCAGAGGTCCGAATGATCTTTTGAGCTAAGGGAAGTGGAGTTAGATATGGCAGGTAGGTTGGTTACTTGCTGACATTCGTGGGTGGGCTGTGTCAGTGTCTCTGGCTGACCTGTCTGCCCATCTGTGCGTGCCCACCTTGCTTTCCAGGCCAACCTTCCGTAGAAAGGTCTCCAAACATGGGTCCTGCTGGTCTGCCATCAGTCTGGGTGTGCGTGCCGTCTCTCAGACCAGACTCTCCTGAGATGCCTCCCGACCATGCGAGGTCGATGACCTACAGTCTTTCTGAAGACAGGGACCTTGGCAGGGGCTTTCCATTCCCCTCAGAAGGTTTTACCCCATCAGTGGCTCCCTCTCCTCCATCCCCACGGAGGCCATTTCCAGCCTCCATAGACTCAGCAGAAACACAACATAAATAGCAATGTCAAAGTCAAAATTTAATGTTTTTAATGATTAATGTTAGCAAATGGTCTTCAAGTTGTTAAAAGAGCCAGAAAGGGGGGAAAAAAAAAATCTCAAACCTCATCGCTAGATCATTCTGGGACTTTTGCATTTAATGACTCTGCACTGAAATTTTCTGAGTGCTTCCCTTACAAAGAGCATAAGACTGTGTTTTGTTCTGTGTGCCGTCAGATCAGACCAGAGACACAGTGGTTGTGCTTAATTTGTTAAAATCATAGGTGTTCTCAGCCAGAAGGAATTTAGCTGAAATCCAACTCTCCCAGTTCAGTTCATGGGAAACTGAAGCCAGAGACAGAAAGGACTTGCACAGACACACTCCGTTAGTGGCAGAGCCTGGATGGTTTCCCTCCTCACTCCACCTGCTGTGGTTGTCACACCTAGTAATTACCTAGGAAGCTTTAAACCATCCTGACAACGCGGCCCCACCCAGATGAAATAAATCCACTCTGCAAGTTCAGAGTTGAGTGACTTTCAGCAAGCAGCTGTACCTTTCTCAACCTGGTTTTTCCACCTGAAATAAAAATAGTGTCCCAACGCCTTCCTTCCAGGGTTGCTGTGAAGATTTTGAGATAGTGGATATAAAGCAGTAGAATAAGGCCTGGCACGTTACAGGTATTCAGTAAATGATTATTTCCCTTAAAGAAAGTTAATTAGTATTTATGGAACAAACCCCTTGCAGTTGTGCAGCAGTGTCTTTTAAAGGACAAGAAAAATCTCCAGCTCCCATCCTGTCCGACTAAACAGGTGCTTGCTTGTGTTCTTATCCCTTTCAGGTCCATCTGGGAAGCGGGATTTGGGTTGATGAGGAGAAATGGCACCAGCTACAAGTAACCCAAGGAGATTCCAAGTACACAAAGAACTTGGCAGTCATGATTTGGGGAACAGATGTTCTGAAGAACAGAAGCGTCACAGGAGTTGCCACAAAAAAAAAGAAAGATGCAGTCCCTAAGCCACCCCTCTCGCCTCACAAACTAAGCATCGTCAGAGGTGGGTCCCGCACTGGAAACGCAGTGGCTGAGGCACCAGGAATGTGTCGGGCACATTTCAGTTCAACAGACACCTACTGAAGCTTCTCCATGCCAGGCCCCGGGCTGGGCATGGGGACACAGGAGCAGATGTGGACCTGGTCCCAGAAGAGCTCACATTTAACAGGGCAGAGGAGCTGTGGACACAAGTACAGTTCAAGGAGCTAGCATGCGAGAGGGACAGAGGGGGGTTCTCAGGAGGGGAGGAAACCCCTAGCCAGAAAATCAGGGAAGGGTTCCTGGGAAGGGGGTCACTGGATTAGGCCTTGAAGGATCCATCAGACATGGAGACGCAGATGTGTAAAGAGAGGTACTCGGGAGGCAGAAGCATCTGGAACAGAGGCGTCGGGTTGGGAAAGGAGTGCTGCTGGAGGTGGAAGCTAGGGGGCCAGTTCCGGGGGGTCCTAGCATCGTGCCTGGAGCACTTAGTGAGGTGAAGACCAGCTGAGGGTCACTGGATTCAGCTTCTTTTCTGGGGTTTGGGAGGGGTTGGAGGGAAGGCAGAGAGACAGGGAGTCGTTTGTAAAGATAGGGCACTGACCTGGACTCTGATTTTCCTTCCCTCCTGCCTTCCTTTCTTCCTCCCCTCTCTTCCCTCTTCCTTCTTTCTTTCCTCTGTCTCTCCCACCCACTCTCCATCCGTTCATGGAGCCCTTATTCCTTGCCAGGCTCTCTACTGGGTATGGAGGACACAGAGGGGGATAAGGCACAGTCTCCATCTGCAAGGTGCTTACAGTCACATGGGGAGGGTGAACACGAGAACAGCTAGTTACGGTACAGATAATACAAACTATGGAGACAGGCAGGAAAGTACGTGGGAGCAGAGAGAATATAGTAATTGCTAATTATTCTGAGCGATCGCTACGTTTCAGGTTCTGTTTTCTCTATGATTCTGTGTTAAAAATTCTTTTACATATATTAACTCATTTAATCTTCATAACACGTAACACTCCTTCCGTTGGCTGCCAGTATTATCCCAGTTTTAGTTGCAGAAACTGGACACAGAGATGCGAAGTAACTTGCCCAGATCGCACAGCTTTAGGGGTAGAGCCAGGAGTCCGAGCCAGGAGGGCTGGCTTCAGAAGCTGTGCTCCTATAACCACTAGTCTCTTAAAGTGTCCAACTGCCATGTTCTGGTGAAGAAAGTAAGACTCATTCAGCATGTACATTTTGAACAGGCCACGTGCCAAGTTCTGGGGCAGAGACAGCAAGTATGTCCATGAACAGATCAGATCATTTCAGGTGCTGATGAAAGGCCGTGAAGCCTCATCGAGCGATACAGTAGCTGTGTTGGCTGGGGTGGGTGGAGAAGACCTGCCTGAAGCGGTGCATTCAAGCTGGGAGCCAGACGTGGAGGTCAGCCCTGTGCAGGTCTGAGGGGTGGTGAAGCAGGCAGGATAAAGAGCGGGTTCAAGGGCCTGCATGTGCCCAAGGGGTGAAGCAGCCCCGGGGCGCTGCAGAGTCATGAGTGAGGGGATGCTGAGATCAGGCCAGTGGGCGAGAGAGGGTCTTTTAGGGCCCTGAAGGCCACAGTAATCGGCTTGGATTTACCCTACCTGCAGGAGAAAGGTAATGGAGGTCTTCAGTGGGAGTGACCGAATGGGAGGTCAGTTAGGAGGCTGATGTAGTGGTCTTGGGGAGGCATGGACTATGGTTAGAGCAGTGGAAACAGAGAAAAATGGCCAGATTTAGGGTGTACTTTGGAGGTTGAGGTGTAAGGACACAGAGAGATTAGGTGACCAGCCAGAACTCACAGCTACAGGGTTTCAGAGCCTGGATTTAAGCCCACCCCCACTGACTCTGGTCTGGGGCTTGTTCCGTAGCACAGCTGCCCCCGTTGCTGGCCGATTCATGATGACCTGATTTAGGCAGACACTTATTTTTAGACGAGCGGAGGTAACCTTTAGTCTGCCCACTGTCTGAAAAGGTGGAGCCTAGTTTGGGAGGTCGCCCTGAGAAAGCGTCCTTCCTGGGGACACAGCCCTGCTTACCTGAGAGGTGGCTGACCTCTAATTCTGTTACACTTGTTGGGCTGTGACTCAGCAGGTCCCAGGTGCCTTCCAGTGACCGGCTGCCCTCCCGTTGTCACGCCGTGGTATAAAATCATCTGCTGTGCGTCTGCCTCAGGCACGGGTGTGACTGTGTCGGGCTCACCTCCACGTCTTCCTTGCCTCTCGCACAGGTCCTGGCACACAGTGGGAGCTCAGTCGCCGAGGGCTGAACGAGTGCCACACTGAGACCTGCAAGCTGATCCCCTGACTGACTCTTCACACTGTTTCTTGCGAACTACTTTCCTTCCATGTCGCAGTGTCTTCAGCTGAACGCTCACCTCTTAAGACAGTTAAGAGGGCTGCTTGGATTGTAGCTTGGAATAGTTATGTTTGAGGTGTGAGAAGTTTCCATTCTTTGTTGACAAGTGAGCTGCCCCCGTGGAGCCGACATGACCTCGTGATGGTCACATCACTGAAGCTCATGACTGTTCAGTGCTTTGCAGCTGTCAGGCCCTCTCCTGTCTGCTCCCAGTGCAGGGTGATGGGGAGTAGAAATTGGAACCAGGTATCGAAAGCCTGAGGTCGAGCCCCAACTCTGCTTTGCTTTAACTCTGAGCTCACCCTGGTTCTGTTATGTTTATTTTTGTTTCCCCAGGCCCAGCGCAGTGCCAGTACCAGGTAGATGCTTGGTGTGTCCATGTGTAAAGGCAGGATTCACAGTCCTTGTCCTGGCTGCCCAGTGGACCTGTAGGCATTTGTATGTTCTTTGGACCCCATTCAGATGATGTCATTTGCAGCTAATGTGGTCCCCAATACTAAGGAACAATCTAGAAGAAAATACCTCAGCTGTGTGGCTTGGGGCTATTACAGACTCACTGTCTTCAGGCCCATAGGCCAGGCCCTCCAAGTTTCCCTCACTGATCCACTCCTCCATTTCCTAAGCCCTTTTTAAACCTTCTCTACTCTTCCAGAACATGGTAGTCCACAGCTCTCTCTTTTTCAAAAGATGACCATGTCTCTTCCTTCACAGAGGAAAGAAAAAGAAATCCCACAGCTTCGAACCACCCTATCTGCAAACTTCACTGGATCCCCCGGTTCTTCTGCCTCATGTTTCCTTCTCTTATTTGGGACTGGCTGTTCTCTCCAACTGGATCACAGCCCACCTGCCTTCCTAAGTACCTTGTCCCTCCCGCTCAACTGGGTCCTTCCCGGCACCATTTAAATATACTTTGATCACTCATTTCTTACAGAAGCAAACAAAACACTCCCTAGACGTCACTTCCATCACCCAGCTGCCGCCATGTCTCTCCGTTCCTTTTCACATCCAGGTTTCCCGAAAGAGTTGTCTGCCTTCACTGCCCGTGTGCACCGGGAACGCCCCTGCCATCTGGCATCGGCTCCCAGCCCTCTGCGTACTCTGTGCTTGCCAGGCTTCCCCGTGGCTCCACCTCTACCTCTTCCCCAGCCGTTTGACCTGATCCCCCCTCCTTTACTGAGAAACCCTCCTGCATGCTCAGGTCTCCTCCTGCCTGTGGCTTTGCATCCCCCCTGTGGGCTCCCCTCCCGCTGCCCTCTTGTCTGTCTCCAGCCCGCTTCTCTCTCATTCTGCAACGCTGCCCTCCGCTGCTCTCACTCCCGCCGTCCCCATTGCCCTCGGCATGCTCACGGCCCTGGGTTGAAATCCACACTCCTGGCGTCTTGGCTGCTGCCTGGTGATCTGGCCTCTGGTGACTCCCCCGGCCTCATCTCACACCACACTTCCCGTTTCCACTGTGCTCTAACCACTGAGGCCTTCTCCCGGCCCCCTCCTGTTCCCACTGCCAGCAGTGCCCTTCCTCTGGTCTGCACATCCTGCCTCCTTGTCATTCAGAGAGGCCGTCCCCGACCGCCCGGGCTGATGAAGGAGCCCTTCCATTGCTCTCTGTCACATCACCCTCCCTAAAGTCCCTGCGGAGCATTTCTTACTTGCTCGTTTATTTGCTTGATGATTGTCTTTTTCCCCACCTCCATTAGAACATCAGCTTTATGAGCATCTTGCTCAGGGCCAGTCAGTGTTCAATAAATATTTGTTGAATCAGTGACTGATTCCCAAATCTATATTTGACCTCAGTTCACACTTCCATGTTCCTGATCCATACATCCAGGTGCCCACTGGTCACCTCCTCCTGGATGTCCACGTGACACTGGCACATCTGCACTGCTCACTGCTCCCTCCTCTTCCTCCTCCCCAAAGCCTTCTGCCTCTCTGTGTTCCCTGTCTTGATAAATGACACCACCTGCCAGGGACCCAGAGAGGCCTCATTCCTGACTCTTCCACATGCCCGCTCTCCATCTGTTCTGCCCCAAATACCTTTTAAACCGTCCACTTCTCTCCATACCCATCGCGCCTCACGTAGTCCAGGCCACATCACCTCTCCCCTGCCTTACTCCAGCAGCTGCCAGACTCCTCTCTCCATTTGTAGCCAGAGTGATCTTTCAGAAACCCAGTATGATCCTGTTACCACCACCCCGTCACAGCCAGTCCCTGGTGTCCATTATTAAAGGGTAAGCTTCTTAACGTGTCGTAAAAGCGCCTTCATAATCTGGCCCCTGGCTCTAGCGCCAGTTTACTTTTCAGCCAATATTCCCCTTGTTCACGAAGTTCTTACCATAACGAACTGCTGTATTCCAACAAGCCTTGTCCCCTCTCACATTAGGGAATTTGTAAATGCTATTCCTGGCACCTGGAACATAGATCAGACTGCCCACCCGACACGCGTGCTGCTCTGCCTGGCTAGCTGCTACTCACCACCCAGGTGTGCTTAGGAGAACCGTCCTTCAAGGAAGCCTTCCCTGACCTCTCAGGGTAGGCGGGGATCCTTCTGTTGTATGTCCCAGAGCACCCCGTGCCTACCTCTGTTCTCTTCTTTCTCTATCTTTGCCTCCCAGGTGCCAGGTCAAGCAACCCTTTAGAGCCCATAACTACTTGCCATGCCGGTGAGTGAGAAGGAAATCGACTTGCCCAAGGTCATACAGCGGGTTAGATCAGAGCTGAGCTGAACTGGGCTTTCAGGCTTCCCATTGTCTCCAGGGCTTTCTTGTCTTACCAAAATACAGTGTTGATTTGTTTTTTCTTTACTACAGCCAGGCAGGTTTGAAGCCTGTCTCCCATCGCACCATACACTCCCCATTTTTAGGCTAATTATTTGAGCTCTTCCAGACTGTGTTTGACTGGTTCCTCCCATGCAAGCTGTCTGCTGGATTGAGATTGTTTGTATTTATTTTGTATGATTTTACCACATTTATTCGCATTTGCCATATCAAAATGACAAAAGCCTTGGTGCTCACAGGGTTGGTGAGGATTTTCTCCTCTCTGTGGTTTTAAAGTCACTCCTTACCGTGCAGCAGTGGGATGTGGTGAACGCTGACACCGCTTTAGAAAGATGAAAGCAGGAGGGCTGGAGGAGTCTCGCTTTAATGACAAGCTCCAGAATGACAGTTAAACCTTATTAAGGTCAAATGACCTTTTTTTTTTTTTTTTTTTGATGGCTCACGGGCCCAGCCGCTCCGCGGCACACAGGATCCCCCCAGACCGGGGCACAAACTCGTGTCCCCTGCATCGGCAGGCGGACTCTCAACCACTGCGCCACCAGGGAAGCCCCTCAAATGACCTTTTGCAAAGTGTCTGAGTTTTCAAATGAGCCACAGCGTTGAGTTCTGGTTAATTTTTATAACTTATTTAATAGGACCCATTAGCGCTGTTATAAACCTTGTTAATTAAGCAATAATCTCAAATGCTCCCTTGCAGAGGGAGGCAT